TTGCGCTTCGTCAAGAAGGACGGTAAGTCAGATCAGTAGATTAGGGATCAATAGGACTGCAGACCGCTCATTTGTGGGCTTTTCTATATCTTCAAATTTTCAAACTTAAAACATAACAAATTTGTTGCTTTCAAATGTGTATGCTTTATGTAATGGAATCAGCGGTGTGTCTGCAAGTACAACAGCACAGCCCAGATTGCAGACTGTTCACACATAACCAACAGAGGTCGAGCCAGTTAGCCACTCACAATCAACTGAAAGTTTAATCATATGTATATGACTTTGACTTTTGTTTGTGAGATAGTTTTCCGTATGTCTGCAAAGGGAACCAAATTCAAAGCACAGCTTAGCTCAGCAATGTTGAAGTTGAAGCCTGGCCCTTTGGGATTGCTGTGGGATGTCTGGGATAAAGATTGTCCCCAATGTTGGGCCTTCGTCCCTTTGCTTTACTTTAGATTGTTTTCCTCTTTTTTTATCAGCGCCTTGGTCTGAAGAAATTCACTCGAGACAGGCGTTGATTGTTCGTAGTACTGTTGGATGGAAGCAAGTAGCAATGATCAAGCGAGCAAATTGCCATAGACGTCGAGCAAAGCTGAAAGTTGAAAATGACAATACGTGTCGGGGTGCAGTATGTTGGATTTCCAAATGTATTGTCTCGGCAGGATGGTTATTTGACTTGGTTGTTTTTGTACACTGATATACTGTTGTACTGACTCTGACTATGTTCTCTTCTTTTGGTTTTCACCACTTCAAGCTATTTGGTGGATGATGCACGCTATGCACAGACACACATACATTGGCAAAACAATTTGATAACATGACAACTTGACACACTGTCGTGATATAAACTTTAAACAATAACTTCTCTTTTGTTGTATCATGGACTTAGAACGGATCTCTTCTTCATCGACCTTCCACCGTGTGCAATGGGAAGGCATCCATCCACCACTGCACCAAAGGCCACACCAAGGTAAAGGCCAAGCCGGAGCCTGTTGCCAAAGGTAAGGTACGTAAAGCAAAGAAGACTGAGGATACGATTCCAGTCTTGCCAGAGTCAGTTCAGGCCAAGTACAAGGAACAATGGCAGCAATTTGCAAAAGTGAAGCCGACCAAGGATTGCTTGTTGGGATGGGTTATTTTATGGTTTTCGTTTTGCTTTTGTTGTTTTTCAGTTCGAATTTTAAGCTACTTATAAATGTTTTACGTTTTAACTTCAAGGTTCAGGTTCAAGATTTTTTCCAGCTGTTTGGTTCAAGCGTCTGCTTATTCAAATTCCTTACTACTAATTAACAAGATCAATTGATCTAATGGTTACTATTATTCATTTTTACTGATTTGATTTTTTTTTTATATTTTGATTTTGGTTTGCCAGGAGATCAATAAGAATCAGCCTGGCGATTCTTCTTCGAGTTCCAAGCCTTCTGCTTCTACTGCAAAAAGCTCTCCTTCTGTGGAAACCGCTCCGGCTGGATCTACTGCAACAAGTACTCCTTCTGTGGAAACCGCTCCGGCTGGATCTACTGCAACAAGTACTCCTTCTGTGGAAACCGCTCCGGCTGGATCTACTACAACAAGTACTTCTGGGGGAACCGTTCCGGCTGTACCTACTACAACAAGTACTCCTGCCGGATCAGAACCTTTGACCTCTCCATCTCCACAGGCGCATGCTGAAGTTAGCGATGTGAACAATTTGAATGATGTGAAGCCAGAATCAAAACCTATGACTCCTTCATCCCCGACACATGCTGATGGTAGCAAGATGGAAAAAAAAGATGATGTCAAGGCTTGGGCTGTATTTTTTTCAAACTTTGCATAGCCTACTTTTAACTTAAGTTTGAACTTAACTGTAATTTGAACTGACAGTAGCCTGTTAGCTTAGTGAGCTGATAGTTTCAAGTTCTAATTATAATTACTAATTTCAAAAAAAAAAGTTATGGTAGTGATAGCGTTGCAAAAATATCGCATCAGGACGAGCTCACACTTTTGGTAGAAGAGGCCATGGACATGATGGAGTTGGAGACACAGCCAGACGAGACACCCCATGGAGAATCCAAAGAACCACAGCCAGACGAGACACCCCATGGAGAATCCAAAGAACAAGACGCTACGATGCTATTTGGTGATGATCAAGGGCTAGTGAACACCAAATTGGAGATGCAAGTTTCAACGGCAAAGGCACATCGACTGTTCCCAGAGTTTGAGAAGACCCAGCTCATGCCAGTCAAAGAGGAACTTGGCGATGAATATGTTGAATTTGGTGATCCAAGCGGCGACCCAGAGGCTGACCTAGAAAACTTTTGGTGTTGGGTTTCGAGTCGTGATGATGGCAAGGACAACAATGGTGCTGGTGAAGATGAGAATGAGACGGAAACGAAAGCGAATGCTGGCACCATCTTTACCCCATCACACACCTATCCTGCACCGCCTTCGGACAAACATCCAGATATCAATCGCATTTTGGAAAGTGCAGCTGAGGCAGACAGTTGGGGAACAAAATGGAACAACATCACCACACCACAAAGATTCAGACTTAGGCAAATACAAAGTTAGCTCAACTAAAAACAATGTAATTAACCAGGTAAACTAAACTCAGGTAAACAGGTAAACTGTAAACTTAAACTGTAAACTTCTTGTGTGTACATTTTGAATGAAGTGCAGTTTCAACAACTTTGAACAGACTTTGATCTTTGAAGTTTGAACGTGAACTGTTTCTGTTTGAGTTTGAATTGACCCTGTAGAAAATGATCGAAACTGCTGCTGCTCGTCTTGGTGAAAAAAGTTTAGCCGACCGACTCAGATGCCTACCCAAGATCCTCAGAGTGGCAGATATGTTTTCAGGAGCAGGAACATTTGACAAAGTGGTTGACACTGTCTGTCGCGTTCTCAAGAACAGATTCCCGAATGAAATGGCCGAAACCGAAGAACATTGGATTGGATTGGGTTTTGGTTATGTTTTTTTCTTTGCTTTGTGTCAGCTGTGGCGACTTAAATCAAGCAATAATTCATTCCAGCATTCATTCATTCTATGATATGATGTTGTCTTTTTGTTTTTCGGTTGCTTTCGTTAGTTTGTTAAATCAAGTTAAATCAAAAATCCTTACTCACCATCTTGTGCCACCACAGGTAATCCATGAGTTCTTGTGCGAGATCGAACAGTCAAAGCAAAACTTTCTTTTGCAAACGGCTACAGACACGACGTGTTGCCTTTTTACCGACGCCACCAAGATTATGAACACAGATGACAGGCGATGTGTTCGTCATGGTGAGATATGCGACACATGGTGATGCAAAGTTAATATATTTCACTAAATGCTGTTTTGACACAACTTGTAACTAAGATGTTGTAGTCTCCTGATTCTTGATTCTACATTCTATTTCTATCCCTATAAATATATTTATTCTCATTCTAGTTTGTTTATAGATTCTAGATGTGACTATTAAATTCAAAGTGCATGACTCAAGCACAGTACTGAGCACACACACACACACACAAACACATGAGTCACATGAGGATCTACCGCTGAAACTTTGGTCTTACAACGGTGGCTTTTCATGCAAGTCCTTGTCGAAGTTGAACAATTCGTTCAAAGATATGCTGACCGCGATGAACGACCAGAACCAGGACATTGGGGGACTACTGATAATGATTCATTATACCAATACAAATTCACACACTTGTGATCATAGTTCTCGGCTAGGAAACTGACAATGATACAACTTGATGTTTTGGTCGTCAGTTGTTAATTATTTTAGATTCATATTTATATTTATATATATATAAATGTTTTTCAGGTTCATTGTTATTGCTTGTTTTTACCTTCGGTTACTATCGGGGTATAGTCAATGTTGGTTTTTGTTTGTAGCGATGTTGAGGTCTGGTAAGTAAGTGCAGGATTCAAGTTCGTATCAAACGTTTCGGGCAGTGCGAGACTATCTCAATCAAGCCGTAGTTGACTTCTTCACTTTCGAGAACGTCGACATGGATTCTTCAACCGATGATAGCACCAGCAATTTCAACGTGATAGTTCAAACTTTGGAACAGGTCGGATCCGGCTACTTTGTCAAAGTGTTCAAACTTTGCAGTTGCGATTTCGGCGTTCCACAACGCCGTGTTCGCTTGTTCTTTGTCGGTCTGAACAAGGAAACCCAGGATGAGAAATCTTTCTACCGGATTGAGGAGTGGTTGAAGTTGTTTCAGCTCAAGACCCAAACGCCAGACATGACCTTAGCACTTGCCATGTTACACACCTGATATGTGTTCTTGAATCTTGAAGTTCTTTTTTTTTGAGCTTTGACTTTGAACTTTGAACTGTTTCACAAGTTTTGCTGCACCTATCTTTCTCCATCTATCTCTTTCTCTCTCCGTAGAGTAGAGACTCTACAATTAGGATTCCTTCACTTTATTACTTTTACTTGTTGTTTGTTTTTCACACCAAGTGTTTCTTGTGGACAACTTTGCTCAACTCAACTCAACTTAATTTATCTGCTAAGGATGACTTTTTGCTTCCAGATGAACATCCAATGGTAGTAGCAGAGTTGGAACGAAGGTTGCGTTTCAAAGCTAGCAAAGAAGAGAGTGGTAAGGCTTCGGAAAAGGAGTCAGCAAAGTGGAAAGGACTACACATGGATCTGGCTGAGAAACGTATTTTGGTGTGATGAAGCCATGTTCTTTATTTTCATTTTTTGATGGTCTATATAGTTGGAACCACATCAACATCAACTGATGATCAGTCAAACCAATACCAAATCATAGCCTCTCTGTCTACTATAAGGTCGTCTAAGTCTAAGTCAAAAAAAAACAATAATTCAACTGTAACCATAGCACCTAAATATAATTATACGGTCAGTGCTACATTCGATGTGATGCAAAAGACTCGACCTAGGTGGGTTGCAATGGCCTCTTCCAGTACCATCAGATTTGGCATCAAGCTCTTGGTTTCAATCACTTAGCTTTCGTGAGCGTGAAGATTCTTGTCGAAATGTTGCAGGTTTTTTTTAAATGTATGTACGATGGTAGTGAATGTTCAGTTCACACACTTTGATCAGTTACCCTCTGTTTGTCATCTCAGAACGTGATCTTCCTGCGGAAGGAAAAGGAGGCGATGCAGGCTGCCAAGAATAAGGACATCATTCGCTATGGTGATATTTATCAGTCAGCGAACCGCACTCCTACAAGCTCCGGACAAGATTCCATTCTGAATTTCAATGTTATTGATAGTTGCGAGTTGGGAGATGTTGATAGTTGGTTGCTAGTGCTTTAGCAATGTACAGTAGAGAGTAGAGTCGATGGAACCACTTGTCACAGGAGAGAATTGAATCAATCATTTATATTTTTATTCTTATTTAGGAAGTACCTACTCTGCTCCCTTCATCGAAGATCTTTGATCTCGAACGTTGCCGGCTTTTGCTGGGACCCTTATCATTTGCTTCAAGTAACTGTTTGTTTAGTTACTTTGTTTACTGAGTTGTTTTTAGAATTTAGAATTTAGAAAATCACTGGTTTACTATCTTACTACTTTAACTCAGATTCATTTACTTAGCTGTGCATCAGAAAGTTTATGTCTTCAGTCTCGAGTCTTGAGTTTTCAGAGTCTTCATCTGGTCTTCAGATCCTATGTTTCCAACATCCACCGCTCTCAGGTCGCGAGACTCTGCACCTTCAGGGATTGCAGTTCCATGAACATGATCTACTTCACTTCAGTGAATCCAGTCTGAGCTCACTTTCCGGCAACGCGTTGCTGTGAGGAACTATGTTTTTTCAAATTCAAATGTTCAAAGTTCAAATGTTCAAACTTCAAATGTCAAACTGTTCCACTATCAGAATCATAGAATCATATCGGTTTTTGAATTCATAATGACAATTAAATAAAATCACATCAATCAAATCAAAATCAAAAATCAGTGTTTTGGTTTCTCAGTTTCACAGTTTCTTCACAACTAATTTGGACTATGCTCTGGATCTCTGGACTTTTGGTTCATTATATTTATTTACCGTTTTGTTTTGCTGATTGCTCAGTCACTCAGGTTTACCAGCACAGTGATGCTGGCCATTTTCTTGGCCACCGTTTTGGAACTCAATTACACGTCAAGCTCCGAAGAAGAGCAGGAAAGCAAATTGGCATCACTTGTCTCGGCTTTGAAACGCCAAAAGGTCGTTCACTAAAGCTTCAAAAAGCCGAGAGCGGAATTGAATCGACCACAAAACGTGGTTCTTTTGTGGAATGATGTAAAGCATCAAACAACATCCACCACTATACCATACTCTGAACTTGAACAGAGCGGACAGAAAAAACATATTTGCCAAGTGGAACCCTGACTCTCAGGAGTCATGATGCACTTTATCAGTAAGTAACATGGTCCATATGTAATCATTGTGCCATGTGAGCGCACTCAACGGTACCGATGTTGCACCATCGCACTTTTCAAAACGTACTTGTTGCACTCTTGTCGCCCCACTGTACTGATTGATCGCTACCAATGTACCTAACAAACTGCCCCTTGAAAAATCATGGTTCGTACCAATCTCGAAGTAGCCTCAAGAGCATGGCTCTTGAATCTAGATATATGAAATAGCATGACATAACATGAAATAGCATGAAATAACATGAAATAGCATGAAATAACCTAAAATAGGATGAAATAGCATGAAATAGCATGAAATAACATGAAATAGCATGAAATACCATGAAATAGCATGAAATAACATGAAATAGCATGAAATAGCATGAAATAACATGAAATAGCATGACATAACATGAAATAGCATGAAATAACATGAAATAGCATGAAATAACCTAAAATAGGATGAAATAGCATGAAATAGCATGAAATAACATGAAATAGCATGAAATACCATGAAATACCATGAAATAACATGAAATAGCATGCAATAGCATGAAATAGCATGAAATAACATGAAATAGCATGAAATAGCATGAAATAGCATGAAATAACATGAAATAGCATGAAATAGCATGAAATAGCATGAAATAACATGAAATAGCATGCAATAGCATGAAATAGCATGAAATAACATGAAATAGCATGCAATAGCATGAAATAGCATGAAATAGCATGAAATAGCATGCAATAGCATGAAATAGCATGAAATAGCATGAAATAGCATGAAATAACATGAAATAGCATGCAATAGCATGAAATAGCATGAAATAACATGAAATAGCATGAAATAGCATGAAATAGCATGAAATAACATGAAATAGCATGCAATAGCATGAAATAGCATGAAATAACATGAAATAGCATGAAATAGCATGAAATAACATGAAATAGCATGTGAAATAGCATGAATAGCCTGAACTCCCCTGTGAAATAGCAATGAAATAACATGAAAAATAGCATGAAATACATTGAAATAGAATAAACTAGGATGAAATAACATGAATAGCATGCAATAGCATGAAATAGCATGAAAAATAAATGAAATAGCATGACCTCCCCTGACCTAGCATGCAAAATAAACATGAAATAGTTGAAATAGCATGAAATAGCATGAAAGACATGGAAAATAGCATGAAAATAGACATGAAATAGCATGGATAATACCATGAAATCCCATGCCAATAACATTGAAATAGCATGCCAATAGCATGTGAAATAGCATTGAAAATAACATTGAAATAGCATGTGAAACTAGCATGAAATACAGAATAGCAGGCACTCGCCTGAAATAGCATGAAAATAGCATGAATAATAGCATGAAATAAAACATGAAATAGCGAATGGCAATAGATGAAATAGCATGAAATAGCATGAATACATGAACTCTCCTGCCCATCGCTGAAATAATAGCATGAAATAGCATGAAATAGCATGACATAACATGACATAGCATGAAATAGCATGAAATAGCATGAAATAGCATGAAATAACATGAAATAGCATGCAATAGCATGAAATAGCATGAAATAGCATGAAATAGCATGAAATAGCATGAAATAGCATGCAATAGCATGAAATAGCATGAAATAACATGAAATAGCATGCAATAGCATGAAATAGCATGAAATAGTATGAAATAACATGAAATAGCATGCAATAGCATGAAATAGCATGAAATAACATGAAATAGCATGAAATAGCATGAAATAGCATGACATAACATGAAATAGCATGAAATAACATGAAATAGCATGAAATAGCATGAAATAGCATGAAATAACATGAAATAGCATGAAATAGCATGAAATAGCATGAAATAACATGAAATAGCATGAAATAGCATGAAATAACATGAAATAGCATGACATAACATGAAATAGCATGAAATAACATGAAATAGCATGAAATAACCTAAAATAGGATGAAATAGCATGAAATAGCATGAAATAACATGAAATAGCATGAAATAACATGAAATAGCATGAAATAGCATGAAATAACATGAAATAGCATGAAATAGAATGAAATAGCATGACATAACATGAAATAGCATGAAATAACATGAAATAGCATGAAATAACATGACATAACATGAAATAACATGACATAACATGAAATAGCATGAAATAACATGAAATAGCATGAAATAGCATGAAATAACATGAAATAATCTGGGAATTGGATGAATTTTATGGAAAATTTTACATCGAGGCCATGGGCGATTTCACCTTCTGGGCCCATATGGAGCCCAGTTACATGGCAGTCTCCATGGCATCCTACACTGAGGCGCTGGGAAATCGCTGGGAAATCCCCCGGTGAATCGATTTGTAGCGATCATCCAACGAAATTTGTGACTGCAAATGGAATCAAATGGGATTTGAATTGGATCATCGAACTAAATGATCATGGATTCAATGGGTGATTTGATAGGAGTTTACAACCATGATTGAGTACCTGATGTCTTGGATTCTGCCAGACATGATGTGAATAGTCGCTGGACCACTAGACATTGGTCAATATCTACTTGAATTTGCAGAAGGAATCTATCCAATTCTACCAATAAGATTTTTCCAATTGGTAAATCCACCATGCGAATCTATTGGGAACAAGTCTTTTTTGGGGGGACCCCTCAAGCAAAAATCCAGGTGGATCCATCCTCTACACGCTTAGCCAATGGTCAGGTGCGGCTCAACGGGGTTGCCATGGAATTCGTTGGACTTTAGGGTCCTGCTATAATTGTGCTACCTGCGTTTTCTTAGTCGTTTTGTTCTCCATATTCACAGATGAAGTTGATCGAAGTTGTAAGTCTGGATTGCTGTTATCTTTTCCAATGAGTTTTTCACGAACTTTGTGTAGGATAAGAGTTCAGACTCCCCCAGTCTCTATAAAGTGTGGCACAGCTGCATCCCTTCCCATGGGCCCATGGGCAGGTGGTACCCACCGATGGTGGCCGCTTCCAAGATGCAGGGCAGGTGATAGCGACCCAGTGAGAACACTATGGGTATGGAATATGTACCCAAACAAACGTGAGAAACACATTAAAAACATAGAATCTTGGAAACACAAAAAGTGTCTTCTCAAAATGAGAATCAACTCTGGGCTGGTGCCACGCACATTTGGGCTTTTCCATGTTTTTGCCAGCACCTCCCAATATTCCATTGACTTGTTCCAGGTTTACTTCAATCATGACACCGTGCTGGATGTCAACAGGCCACTGCTTCAGGGGCATATCCCAGCGGGATTAATTGGAGATGTTTGTGGCTCGTCAGGAATCAAGGTGTTGGTTGAACCGACGCCAGATGACTTCGATCTGCGCTGAGGGATGAGCCGATCAGATCGTCCTAGGGCTTGGGAAAAAGGGACCATTTCCGCCAGAATCAAAGCCCTGCTAGAGCTACTAGATGAACATTTATGGAGGGTTTATAATTCTTAGCACTTCAACAACCCATTGACCAACAATTAAATTGTTTTGGAGGAAACAAATCATTACCCTCCAATCAAGCATAGCAACGGAAAATCCTCATTGAATTCGATGATTTTCCCATTGCATCCAATTGGTTCGTGGATTTGATTCCCAGCCGGCCATGTTTGATGACACCGAAGGGTACCCAGTGCAGGTCGTTCAGTTTCAAACTGGCAGACCTGTGCAAAGCTCAGGTGACACCTTGGAGCCAGACTTCTATGTTTCAATGGTATGTTTCAAGGCATTGACATAACTTGACATAAGATTATAATATATTATATCAACATAACTTGACATTTACTAACAAAACATGTAACGCCGTCAAGTCGATGAATTTGATAAATAAATGACTTGACTAGAGTGACTAGATAGGTCAAGAATCAACTGAGCAAGTGAACAAATGCTGCGGATTCTGCTTCGATCGCAAGTCAAACCCGATAAAAACGATCCGCCCTGTGTGATCTCGGGTGCAGACAACTCAGGTACTGCGTGGCCCCCATTCGGAACAAACAATGCAGTGCGGCTTCTCAGCATGAAGACCTTGCACAGAGCTGTGCAGCAGGGTGCTTCACGGATAGATGAGATAGATTGTTGATTGAAGGTCAAAAATTCAACCGCTGGACCTAGGACGGCAGAGGTAAAAATTGGTTTGAATTGATTAGAATTGATTAGAATTGGTTAAAAGTTAGAATAAGTCAGAAGCATTAAGCATTATTTAGACATATTTTAGAATCTGCTCTAAGTATTTTGGCTCTCCTATGGTCTCAAAGATTCTCTGTTCAAAGCTCCCAAGATCATCACCCGGCAGGTGAGCCGTGCGGAAGCGACTTCTGGGCCATTGGGATTCTTGGATGGCCATAGCTGAGAAAATCATCTATCTATAAATGGATGTTTCAAATCTATGGGCAAATTAGGGTCTATCTATAAATGGATGTTTTTTGATGGTAAAAAATCAGCGAAGTAAATGATTGGAGATGGGATTTTCTCATGGGAAAACCATCGAAGTAAATCCATCGAAAAATCGGGGATTTTCCAGCAAGCCAGGTTGGTAAATTGGCAGCTTGCGAACTGTAAAACCACCATGAAATTCATAGGTAAATCATCAAACTAAATGGGCCATGGCTTCCATAGCTATGTTGAATTACCAGAGGATACCGCCCCACTATAATTTTGTTGGCTAAGAATAGGACCGTTTTGAGGCTTTATCGATGATCGTTATTCAAACATGTTTGGACATAGCATGATGTACCACAAATGGCCAGCCATGAAACAAGGGATGCCAACCCACAACAACACAA